CTACCATGCCCAGCTAATTTTTGATTTATTGTAGAGACGAGGTCTCACCAAGTTGCCCAGGTGGTTCTCGAACCCATGGGCTCAGGCAATCCTCTTGCCTCGGCCTCCCAAAGTGCTGGGATTACAAACTGAGTCTCCAAGCCCAGCCAGTCCCAGATTTTGATTTTTAAATTTGTCTGGGCACGGTGGCTCAGTCTGTAATCCCAGCACTTTAGGAGGCTGATGTGAGAGGATTGCCTGAGCCCAGGGGTTTGAGACCAGCCTGGGCAGCTTGGTGAGACCCCATCGCTATAATAAATCACAAAAACTAGCTGGGTGCAGTGGCATCCATCTGTAGTTCAAGCTACTTGGAAGGGAAGCTTGAAGCATGGCACTGCACTCCAGCCTGGGCAACGAAGAGTGAGACTCCAACTCAAAAAAAAAAAACCTTTTGTCAAAAATACGTATTAAGCCGGGCTCGGTGGCTCAGCCTATAATCCCGCGCCTTTGGGAGGCTGAGGTGAGTGGATTGCCTGAGCCCGCCTGGGCAGTCAGATCTCATCTCTACAATAAATCAAAAAATTAGCTGGGCGTGGTAGCGCGTGCCTGTAATTCCGGCTACTCGGAAGGCTGAGACGGAAGGATCGCCGGAGCCCAGCAGGTCGAGGCTGCAGTGGCCAGGAGCAGCCACTGCACTCCAGTCTGGGTGACAGAGTGAGACTCCAACTCAAAAAAAACCAAAAAACAAAAAAATACCTATTAATTGGGCAGGGTGGTACATGCTTGTATTCTCAGCTACTTGGGAGGCTATTAAAATAAAGTAAGGAGTGAAAACAAAATATTAGGCTGAAAGGAATAAACAAAAGTACATATCTTTTAGATTTCAGATAAAGTAACTAGTAAAGTTACAAACTTGGGCAGATTTGTGTTGTGTTCTAAAGTAAGCTAGAATTCTATGGAGGATAGATTCTGAGTTTGCAGATCCCTGAGGACATCAGAAGTTTATGTACCGACATTGGCGATATAGGCATGGACCTTAGTCAACCCTTTCCATCTGGAGTGCCAGGCAAAGTAGACCATTTCAGAGGTATAGAAGAGCAATTTACTAAGGGGAGGAAACATGCTCTTGCGTGCTTCGAAACTTCTCAGGAAAGGAGTAGAACACAGAGAAAGTACAGAAAAAGGACCCGTGGAAGGTTTGTTTCTAAACCAGAGGTCATTTTTGAAACTCACTTTAGAAACTTGGTTATATCAATTAGAATTGGGTTCAGTTTTGTGTCACAGATCATTAAAAAAACAGGAACTTAAACAAGATAGAGGTTAAACTTCTTTTTTCCCTCATATAAAAGAAGTCTGAAGCTAGGCATCTGAGAACTGGTGTGGTTGCCGGTGGTCATCAGAGACCTAAGCTCTGAGCTCTTTCTTTTGATTTTCATCATCCTTAGGACTGACTTCCACCATTAGGTTTGCCTTAGGGCTACTGGATGACCATTGCTGCTCCAGGTATTATGTCTGTGCTCTAACCAAGAAGACGGGCAAGGCCAAAGGGTAGATCCTGGTAGAATCAACCCTTCTCTCCCCAAAGAACTTTCCTGGAAGCCCCACCCACTTATCGGCCACCCCTATCTATAAAGGACATTGCCTATACAGATTAAATATTGGATTGGCAAACCTTGGTCTCTGCTATACTAAGTGATCGTATTCTTTTATTTTTATTTATTTATTTTTTTGAGTTGGAGTCTCACTCTGTCGCCCAGACTGGAGTGCAGTGGTATGCTCCCGACCACCGCAGCCTTGACCTGCTGGGCTCCAGTGCTCCTTCTGCCTCAGCCTTCCAAGTAGCTGGAACTACAGGCGCACGCTACCACGCCTGACTTATTTATTGTAGAGATGAGGTCTCGCCAAGTTGCCCAGGCGGGTCTTGAACCAACAGGCTCAGGCAATCCACTCACATCAGCCTCCCAAGGCGCGGGATTACAGGCTGAGCCACCGAGCCCGGCTGCTAATTTTTATATTTATTGTAGAGATGAAGTCTTGCCATGTTGCTTGGGTGGGTCCCAAGTCCACTGGCTCAGGCAATCCACTCTCCTCAGTCTCTCAACGTGCTGGGATTATAGACTGAGCCACCGAGCCTGTCCAGGTGATTATATTCTTAAAGGTATTACCAAGACTTAGGTGGCTGAGATGTTGGGATACCTGCAAAGTCTAGGACAGTCATGTTTGGTGAGCCTGGCTTTTAGTTTGCTTCTTGGTTGATTGGTTCAACAATATTAAGGTACTGCTAAGTACTGGAGCTACAATAGAGAACAAAATAGTCCTAGCCCCTACCCTCCAACAGTGTACAAACTAATGGGGAACAATGGGATTTGAATAAGTGAATTATAAATGTGTTGAACAGCTGGGCTTGGTGGCTCAGCCTGTAATCCCACGCCTTTGGGGGGCTGAGGTGAGTGGATTGCCTGAGCCCACGGGTTCGAGACCCACTTGGGCAGCGAGACCTCATCTCTAAAATAAATCAAAAAATCAGCCGGGCGTGATAGCGCGTGCCTGTAATTCCAGCTACTTGGAAGGCTGAGGCTAAAGGATCGCCGGAGCCCAGCAGGTTGAGGCTGGGAGCGGCCACTCCAGTCTGGGTGACAGAGTGAGACTCCAACTCAAAAAAAATTTTTTTAAATAAATAAATGTGTTGAATATTAAGAAACGGAAAGCAGGCCGGGCTCGGTGGCTCAGCCTGTAATCCCGCACTTTGGGAGGCCAAGGTGAGTAAATTGCCTGAGCCCGCGGGTTCAAGACCCGCCTGGGCAACTTGGCGAGACCTCATCTCTACAATAAATCAAAAATTAGCCGGGCGTGGTAGCATGTGCCTGTAGTTCCAGCTACTTGGAAGGCTGAGGCGGAAGGATCGCCGGAGCCCAGCAGGTCAATGCTGCGGTGGCCGGGAGCGGCCATTGCACTCCAGTCTGGGTTACAGAGTGAGACTCCAACTCAAAAAAAAAAAAAAAAAGAAACAAAGTAAAGAGTGCTTGGGATTGTGACATGAGAGGATGCTTGGGAGTTAGAATGGTAGGAATGGGGGTGTAAAAAGAGAAGAATGTTCCAGGCAGATGTACTCCCAGTCTGGTAATTTCCATACCAATTTCTTTTTCTTCTGTTACTTGCCTTTTGTCTTCATTAAGGAAATCTGTGGGAATGCCCAAGCAACCAAGGAAAGCAGGGATCAAATATTCTTTTTATCTGAAATGACTAAAGTGATTGCCATCCTTTCTACTTGTTTTTTCACTCTTTCCAGATGAGTGCCTGCCTTTATAGGCTGCACCAAGGGGTGCTGGTAATCGAGGAAGGAGACAAACAGATGATTGAGGCATACTGAAGTCCAGTTAGTCCATCATAGATCTGGATTTTGGTCTCAGTGTGGAACTTTGGGGAGGCAAGGATTGGTTCTGACCTTGAGATGCTAATATGACCCTTTTCCCCTTCCAGGAAGTGGACATTGTAGTTGCACCGTGCCAAGCTCTCCGACCCACAGTGGATGTTCTGGGTGACTTGGCGAATGATTTCTTGCCTGTGATAACCTATGCACTCCATAAAGATGAACTCTCTGAGAGGGATGAGCAGGAACTTCAGGAAATCCGAAAGTATTTCTCCTTTCCTGTATTCTTTTTCAAAGTGCCAACGCTAAGCTCAGAAATAATAGACTCCTCTACCAGGAGACCGGAGAGTGATCGATCACCACTTTACCGCCAGCTAATTGACCTTGGCTATCTGAGCAGCAGTCATTGGAACTGTGGGGCTCCCAGCCAGGACACTAAAGCTCAGAGCATACTGGTGGAGCAAAGTGAGAAACTGAAACATTTGAGCACATTTTCTCACCAGGTGCTACAGACTCGCCTGGTGGATGCAGCCAAGGCCCTGAACCTAGTGCACTGCCACTGTCTTGATATCTTTATTAACCAAGCCTTTGACATGCAGCGAGACCTGCAGATTACTCCCAAACGTCTGGAATATACTCGAAAAAAGGAGAATGAGTTATATGAATCATTGATGAGTATTGCCAACCGAAAGCAGGAAGAAATGAAGGATATGATTGTTGAAACACTTAACACCATGAAAGAGGAACTTCTGGATGATGCTACCAACATGGAGTTTAAAGGTAGGTCCCAGACAGCTTGTCAGATTGGGACTTTAGGAGCCTCTAACCGTTTTCTAGTTGGAAATTGAGGTTAAAAGAACCCTATGGTAATTGCATCCACCTCACTGTTATCAGCAGGAGCCCACCTTAAGGCATTTAGCCGAGGTGACCTCTCTCATTCTGAGACCTTCCTGGAAGATTCCACTGTCATACATTTCTAAGAATCTTAGCCCAACTTTTGGTAAGTTCATCCTAATAGCGCTCTAATCACCACTTTCTATCTGTATCCCCTTGACCCTACTGGAACTGAAGAATAGCTGCTTAAAGAATGTTAGTAAGCCGGGCTCGGTTGCTCAGCCTGTAATCCCGTGCCTTTGGGAGGCTGAGGTGAGTGGATTGCCTGAGCCCGCGGGTTCGAGACCCGCCTGGGCAGGCGAGACCTCATCTCTACAATAAATCAAAAAATCAGCCAGGCGTGGTAGCGCGCGCCTGTAATTCCGGCTACTCGAAAGGCTGAGGCGGAAGGATCACCAGAGCCCAGCAGGTCGAGGCTGCGGTGGGCCGGGA